ATCAGCTTTCCTGCTCCTCTGATGCTGCTTGGCCTGCTGTGTTCATCTCGCTCTACACCTTGTTATCTCAGATTCTCCAGCATCTGCAGTTCCTACTATCTCTACTATCTCTAAATTTCAATCTCATGGTTTTGACAACACCGGGCTAATCTTATTGTAAGACATTGATATGTCATCAAGGGTATAAAAGATGAGGGCATTTGGAAAATTTGGAGAGAGCCAACTGCCATCTGATAAGAAATCCACTCTCTCAGCACTCAGAGAAAGCATCATCTAATTAATAAAGGTACCATGGCACTCTTAACTAATATTCCAGACAGAAGAATTCACAGAGCGAACATTCCTGACAGAAGATCACCAGGGAAGGCACAGAACATTCCAGAAGATGTAGCCTAGCTGTAATTTCGAGAGACTACGTTCTAGTTTTTTTTAATTCTAGTTTATATAGGTGAGATTTGCATTTATTAGAACAGCACACCATGATAATACTGTTTTATTCAAGAACAGCTAGAAGTTAGAAGGGAATTTATTTTGTTTAACCATTCCTTTATAACAGATTGGGGGCTGTTTTAACAGATTGTGAGGTGAGGTGCACCGCTCTGGGCACTTCGGTTTTAGTTATCAGAGGGGCGCCAACCTCCGCTTTATAACATACACTTATTTTAAAAGGCACTATGTCAACAAACTTAATTCTACACTGAAAATATTTCCCCATGATTCTCCCCTGTCTGAAGAAAACAAAATTTCTTTTCAATTTTCCAGTCTGTTGCTGCCATTGATCGTGTTAAAAACCAACTCAACGATGTTAAAAATATCAGGTGAGTCAAAGACTTTTCTACTTGACTTTGAGGCTTATTATTTTGAAGAATTTGTTGTGGATTTCACAGATTGTTGGGGCATTGAGCACTCAGTAATTTATTTTTATTTCATAGCGATTGTATACATGCTTGAAATATGGTAAAGTCTATCCATGCTTAATTAAGAATAATGAATTGAAATATTTATATACAGCGCCTTGTCAGAAACATATTGAAACATTTTGTATGGAAATAAATTACTTTACAATGTGTTAACTAATGCTGTTTTTGAACTTGTTTGCTCATTGCAAGGTCCCATAGACAGCATAACACAACTGATAAGCTGTTTTGGGAATATTGTAGAAATCAGAAGAACTTCCTTAAAGTAGTACAATTTTTAATGTTCGTCCCAAATAGATTCGATTTAAGACAAGGCTTGAACACTGTAGTTTGTTCTTTGTGTTACATTGGAATGCCAATTAATTTTGAGCTCAAATTCCTGGTACATAACAGAGTTGAGAGAATTACCTACTGAATTGCATCTACAGATAAGAATATTGAATATTGCTGAAAAGAGAGACATACTGTTGAAGCTTTTCATTTTGCTCTCATGAGGATAGAGGCAAGAACGCCAAATTTCTATCACCGCAATTTATATTACAGGACAGAAGGGTGCTGGTCGGTTGGCACGTCAACTCTTATTGGTGGAAGTGTTACCATGGAGAAAGCAATAGAAACAATAGTCTCCCTAAGCTCTTGGGTAACACAAAAAATATGGAAGTCGTGAAACATATTCCTTCTGTTTGTAGAGAATCAGTCCCTGCATTGGAATTTATATCACTTGTAGCAAGTATCAATGACCTACGTTTCAAGCTCAGCCGCAGCCATGATGTGGAGGTGCCGAGATTGGACTGGGATGGAAAAAGTCAGAAGTCATATGATATCAGATTATAGTCCAATAGGTTTATTTGAAACACAAGCCCTCAGAGTGCTGCTCCTTCCTCAGGTAAAGAGCACTGCTGCTTCACCTGATGAAGGAGCAGCGCTATATAAGCTTGTGATTTTAAATATACCTATTGGACTATAACCTGACGTCATGTGACTTCAGACTTCAAACTCAACTAATCGTCTTAAAAATCAGTTTTCGTGGCATTATTAACACACTCAGAATTTTTCAGGAAATACTCCCTTATTGCTTTATCCATAACAATTTCTTGCCTAGACAATGTTCTCTTGATAGCCAATCAGCTTTCTTTCCTCCTGTTGTATTAGCTAATACTAATATGACATATGGCTTTCTTGCATTTCTCTAGTTGCATGGAAGGTGAGTAGTTTTGTCAACATGCCTCTCTTTTCAGCAATGTGCTGACTCTTAATAATACAGAGGAAAATTATATTAATTTTCCATCTGTATTTAGCACTATGATGTCTGTAGTTCTAATACATATCAATAAGATCCTTTGAAATTCATCAGGTAAATTTAAATATATGTAGAGTATGTACTTAGTATGTTTCTCTTGTTTGAAAATCTTGTGATTCTAAGAAGATGAAAAATATTTTGTTAGAATTCTTATGCATCATTAAATTGTGCAATGCTTTTTGTAGGAAAATACAAACATCCTTAACATTAAGTTTGAAATATGAGCCTTCATTATTAATTTTTAATCCTATCAAATTTATTTTTCTGCTTCTCGTTGAAGTAAATTGAAGGCTGTTGTCAAAGGAATTCCATGTAGCCTCATTAACACACTGAAATCTGATGTGGTGAAGGCACTGGCAAATAATCCCCTTGTTTCTAGTAATCAGGTAAGTTCAAGTCAATAAATTCCATATGAACCAAGACTTGATTAGTGCCAAGCCATGATTAGTCTATGGAGAGTTAACATCACAGAAACAAGCACTCAGACCATATGACAGTGTTTATGCTCCACTCGAGCCTCCCACACTGCTTCATCAAACTCCACTTTATCAAACTTCCTGCACAAGCTAACTGTTATTTGACTGCACAGTTTGTAGTTAGATAGCATGGCAGTATTTCATCCTTCTCCTCTCACAAGCTATGTCAGAGATCACAACTTGCTCCCTTCACCATTTGATGCCTCCAAATTCATGCTTGAATTCCATTCACATTGCCTAGTGTTCCCTGTCCTTTCCTGAAGGTATTGAGTATGTTGTGATATATCTGTTTCCAGTACTTTGACCAGATGGCTCGTCTGTAAGACCGGCTGTCATTTTTTAAGAGTCTATGGCCAAGTTGCCGTAGCAAGATTTGGATGTGAACTCTTCTGAGGTGTAATTTGTTTGTCACAAACTGACTTAAGTGACATTAGCTTACCAAGATCATTTGGGCTGAGTGCAAATGTGGAGAAATAGAAATTCATTGCAGATCAATTCAATGCTGCTTACATTTCTAGCTCACTCTTTTGTACAAGTAGATATAGGAGAGTGCAAACTAACTTTGATAAAATAAGGTATCTAAGACCATTGAAGTGAGCAATTGACAATATTAAACATAGAAAGGTAGCTGTTCTCGCTCATATTTGTAACAGTGGATGTATTCAGTAAGATATTGGAATGCAGTATCATAAGATGAGCTTCTTATTAACCTTAGACCAATTCACAAGAATACACTGTCAAACACAAGTTATTGAATACTAATCAGGAGTAGCTATAATATGACTTACCACCTTCTGAACATTTATTTTAAGGCTTGTCATTTGTTCATGATAATTCTGTGGAATTTATCACATCCCATCACTTCATGAATCATGGAGAATAAGTTACTCTTGGCTGAAAAATGCCTTCCATTTCATGAGAACAATATTAACAATTTCATTCTGTGTTTTTTTTTAATTTTAAACCATAATCACCATTTCACACACTTCTAATAGATGTACTTGCAGCTCAACCTGAAAGCTTTTTCATGGAAGGTTACCCTAATGAAGGAAAGATAACTATGACATGCTTCAAGGAATTGGATTGTTAACCAGTTTGCTCTCAACAAAGGCATGCAGGTCTCCGTACTGATGGATTATCCCACTCAGTCCCTATTGCAATTGCTAATTGCTACTCCCCAACCCCCCAACTACCGCAGCACCCCCCTCCAAAGTCAGCAACAGCCTCCCCCAATAATCAGCAATGTAGAAGCCACAAGACACTCCTTTACAGTACCGCTGACGTTACATTTCACGTCGCCAGGTGACACAGTTTCTGTGAGGTGAATTGATGTCGAAAGAGAACTGAACGGTAATCACTGGGCAAAATCTTGATTTCATTAAGAGCTGACCATTACATAAGAACATTAAGATCAACAAATGTTTATTTGTGGGGCACTTTTCAAAGAATGAGTGAAGTTGTGGCATACTTTCCTACTAAGTACATTTCCAATTCCTTAGTTACTTTATATTCATTTTCATTATTCCTATTCAATTAATTTGACTTGATAAAACTTTTGATGAGAAAATGTATAAGTTATGATTTTGTATGATGTGGCAAGTATTGTTATTTTCAGTGAGAAAACACAATATCTTAATGCTCAAGGTGCATAACAGGGTCAATGAGATTGCTATATTTGCAGCAATATTTTGTTGGCCACATTCCACAATTAGAAACATTATTGTGTTTTAGAGCATTAGCTACATCAGCCTTGTGTTTTTCATTAACCTATTAACACTGCTCATGTAATTTACAGATTCGCTGTTTTTCTATCAAATTCTTTAAAGACAAAACCAGCAACCCAAACTACTTCAACAACCTGACATCAGAAGACATTAATGAATTCCTGATCTCATACATGATTTTTCAACCGTAAGTCATATTCCTTTCTTCACTGAATCTTGATTCAAAATTAGATCGAAATGTAAGAAAACATATTATCTCCCATTTTCTGGGATGATTGACTTGCTTCATCATTACTTTCCATTCTAGAAAACTTCTCACATCATTACTTTCCATTCTAGACAACTTCACAAAAACTGTGCTTTACTCCCAACTTAAGGATTGCAATATTTAGAGTTCCGAGGACGGGTAACTGGCTCAAAACTTTAACTCTTGTTTCTCTTTACTGATGTTGCCAGACCTGCTGTGCTTTACCAGCAACTTCTGTTTTTGTTTCTGATTTACAGCATCTGCAGTTATTTCATTTTTTTATTTTGCACTATTTAGAGTTCTCCATCAAGACAAATTCTTTCTCAAATCTTTTCAATCCCTTTTCTTAATTCTCATCAAGTGGGAGGTGGACGGATGTATCGATTTGACTGTTTTCTCACCTTCTTTATATCTAGTAAAGTTTAAAGAAAATGACAGCAAAATAAATATTTTTAATGTGTCCTGGAGATTGTCTTTGAATACCTGGAGACTTCAGTGCAACCCTGGGTAGTTTCAACTCTACTGACAAAAACTGAGTGATATGGAATTAAGATTCAAGTCCAGCATGGTCCCATTGAATGGCGGAAATGCTTTGTGATGCTAAATGGCCAACTACTATTACTATATCCTTATTTCATCTTAACTGGTACATCATACAGAATCCCACATTAGTTTGTGTTTGACAATCATACATTCAAACTTCCAGGAGCGATCTTCATTATTAATCAGGAATAGGAATCTTGGCAAACATTTCTCTCATTAAAACTAGGTGTCAAGGTTGCAATCAGTGAACTGGGCACAAACTACATACAGAAAAAAACATTTCTCCAACTCTCTTAGCAGCCATTAATTCCAAAATGGACCTGCATTTTGGAGTATTGCTTTTCTTACAGCTAAATAGTTCTTCACCTTCTTCAGGTGAGAGTCCTCATGATGTTTATGGTTTGTCCTGTCTCAGGTGAATTCTGTTATATGCTGTCCTGTATTTTGCTCCTTACCAGCCACAACTAGCACCCCCAGCATCTATCTACCCCATCCAACTAACCTCTGATGAAGGGTCTAGGCCCAAACATCAGCCTTTCTGCTCCTATGATGCTGCTTAGCCTGCTGTGCTCATCCAGCTCTGCACCTTGTTGTCTCTAACCTCATGCATACTTTGGCCTTTAATTTGTGCAGGGGAATGAAGCCAGAAAACTTCACACTTTGTTCCAGAATTCCTCTCTGTCATATCTTAGCCAAAAGCTTTTTTTTTGTCTTGTTGTGGCAACAGAATTGACAACAAATTATGTGCTTTTGAGTCATGACCAAGATAAATTGCACTTCGATGTCAGCTGGAACTCAGTACCGCGGTCTAAAACAATGCATATTGACTCTCTACAGGAATTAAAACCCCCACCCCACCCACATAAAAACAAAATGTATCTTTTTAATTAACAAATCGATCAGAATCATTTTCCTGCACAAAAGCCTGGCTCCAAAGTTAAAGTGACCTCATTTTTAACGCAAATTCAAAATATAAAATTAAGGCATTTACTCGATTTACCATTGAATGAAAATCTTGCTTGTTCCAACAAAGACAAAGCAAAAGTTTTGCCAACATCATGGTCCGATTGCCTCCGTTCATCCCTGTTGTCAATGTTTGATTAAGTCGCCCTTGAAATGGTTCCTCATCATTGGCAGCAAAAAATGAATTTGAAAAGACCATGACAAAAGTATTTTACTCCAATCAGCCCAGGGCTTCCTTTTATTTTTGCACCAAATTCATTGAAATTATGTGCAGTTATCTGCCTCTATTGAGTAATGAGCAGGTATCATTGCATGACATGTTATTGCATTCTTTTATTAACTGATTCCAGTTTGTTTGTGTTGTTATTGTTGGTTTGGGCTTATTGTCAGAAATAAAAGAACTTAATGACGTGCCGTGTATGGAGCGCAAGTACAAATTCAAGGTTAAAACTGAAACATCTTTATTGCTATTGAACAAAGTTTGGAATGATGGAGATGCTTCCACTCAATAAATGAACAATGCTCCATACCATGCTTCAGTGGTACATTACATTAGACTGAAGCATTCTAATTCTCAAGGTGAATAATTATTCATTTCAGAGGCCCTAAGACAAATTTCCTATGAGACATGAGCCAAAAATACTATCAGAAATAGCAGCTCTGTAATATAACTGTGTCGCATGCTGAAGGCATTTCAGATTTTAGCAGGACAGTTTTGACATTTTGAAGTATTAGGCATTGTTTAACACTAATAAAATAGCCTCCTGATTATACAACATGAGTAATAAATCTTATATTATTTGTAGTTGTTTGGTCAAATGTTATATGATAGAATATTAGTGGTATTTGCTTGTGAATAATACTGAGTGGGACGTCCTGTCTTATGAATGAAGTATAATGAATGAAGCAGAAGTTTGGTGACCAAGAAAATCCAGGTTACTGGGGATAAATAGGGATGTGTTATTTGAGCTACAAACAGAGCAGGTGTCATCTTTTTGAATGGTGGAGCCACTGATTGGATTGTCTGGGATCGGATGGTTCTTTTAGATACAGCTATATGGCCTCCTTTGTCTCCAAAATGGCGCACATGAGAAATGGACACATTTCTAAATGAAAGCACACCATCTGCCATACTAAGGAAAAACAAAAAAAAGGCATCTTTTCCCAATCCTGAAGCAGGCATTAGGCCATTTTTACTTGTAATTAAAATATTCAACATCTACCTGAGGCCCCCACTGCAAGGCTGGTTTGTTTTGAGGAACAGGCCGCTTCCTGGTGAACCATCTCTGTGAAGGGATTGTCCTCTATATCCCACATTAAAGCCTTGAATCCCAATTAAAGCTGCTGCTGACTCAAGATCTTCAACATTCAGGCCCTTCAACCACCAACTGGACCCCAAGAGACGCACTCAAACAGAAACAGAAATTTCTGGAAAATCTCAGCAGATCTGGTGGCATCTGTGGAGAAAAGTCAGAGTTAATGTTTTGGGTCCAGTGATCCTTCTTCAGAACACTCTGAAACTGCCAGCCCATTAACTTTAATTTTAAGTCACCACTTGTCTCATTATGACTTGTGATTAAAAATTACAGGAGTAACAACTTATAGCTAATCGCTCTGTGGTGGAGTGTGTCCTCCCACACACTGTGTCTCAACACTTTTATTTTAAATGTATGTTCTATTCAAGCTGTTTTTCTAACCACTCCACTACATGTTTATAATAATCACATTTACCAGAAGCAGAATTTCATACACGTTTTCATCAGGCACAGAAATTGATGGATAACACTTTTCAGATTGATTTCCACTTCTGACAACTGAATTGCCTGTATTCAGCTCACTGTTAATCTTCTCCATCAGTTCCCAATGTGTGATAATATCTCTGTTATCATTACTTCTTTGAATTTTACTCACTTAATTGAAATTTCTCATTTTCCTGGTTTTTTTTGGCCATTTGGAACTCTCTTGTAATCATGTTGATATATATTGGTTTCCATCCCATTTATTAAAGAAATTGCAATAGATTGACAAATATAGCTTTAACAGGGATCATCAATAACTGTATCAGCATATCTTCCCAAATTAATCAGTCATCACGAATCATTTATTCAGAATGTAAATATAAGAACAGCAAATATGATTGGCAATTTTTTGTGACAGTTTTCAAGAAGGTGAGATGGGCAACTCTTTCTTGTTCATATTTCAGAATGTAAAAGAAAAATACATTTGTTGTTAGCAGAAACGACTTTTTATGGTAAGACTTTTTCTTTCCTTAGTTCTATAGATGGTCTTTCAGTCTCAAAATTACGTTTAAAATATAGATGTGGCCCACATTGGTACAATCATAGATGGCACATTAAAAGCAGACTACCAGAGGTATGAAGTGTCGGCTGTTTCTGACTTCAACCAATGTCTAATTTTTAACTTGAGTACTCCAGTTGATTCCATCTTTCAGCCACGCACCATTGAAGATGTGTGCAGCAGAAAAATGGAAATGCCCACCTCACCCCCTCTGTAGTATTTAAAGAGGTCAGCAACCACTTCTGCTCAGTTGCTAATTGATTTCTTGCTGAGTTTGTAGAAGTGCTTGGTTGTCTGTGTCATGGTTTAAAATTCTTGATGTCTATAGGCAGTGATGCAGGGCATCTTGGAGGATTGGGTTTATGACAATTGTATTTCTTTGTCCCATTAATGGGTGCTGCGGTTTTTATTCACTTTAGCCTGCAGAAAGGCAGGGATGATGAGCAGAGGCAGATGCAAAAACTCAAGTTTGTGGTCACAAAGTTATCAAAGATTCACCCTTGGGAATTCCTCTTCACCACCTACAGCAACGACTGTCTTCAACCACAGCTACTTTGTGCACCTGCATGTTATATTGACATGTCTAGTTGACCTTAAGTCTTAACAGAAAGTGTTCAAATGATGCATCAAGTTCTTTACTAATACTGAATGGATCATCTTCCTGTTTCAAGACCCGTTATAGCCTTTGCATTCTCAGCACTTCTTTCCCTAAATCTTTCTGTTACCCAGTCAGTTCCAAAAATTGGTTGAAAACCATCCTTGGCTTCAGGCCTAATTGCATGGACTTCATTGTTTGTAATAACCCACCTTCAGTTATTTCACACCTAAAAGTGTTCGTAAGATTTGTTAATAAACTGCTCAACATTACTAGGCAGTTTAACGTTCTAATTCCTTTTCAGATTATTAAACTGTGTCATGATTCACTGAAGCAACTTCTATTCTGCTTCTGCACTTTAATTAACTTTTGCATTCTAGCAAGCATTTAATTATACAAGATGACTGGAAATCTCAACACCTCTTGTAATCTATTTGTTTGAAGTATCTATCCAGTTACTCTTCCAATTTTTCAGAAATCTAATCTGATTGTGACCCCTTTTCAGGCTACCTACAGCTATAATTACAAAGGGAAAATTATC